AGCAACTTTGTCAGCCAATCACAGAAGCTCTTCGAGTTAAACCCAGCAATCACAGACGACATATCAGCCACTTTGTATACTTGGACCGCTACGTACGTATCCTTAAGCAAATTTTGACGGTGGAGTCGCATACAGGTAACATTTAATTCACCAGTATCAGAAGCACTCGTTACGCTATTTCATCCAGAAGCTCCCTCAACTCCGGCGGATCGCGTGACACACGTACTGTTGACTGTTGCATTCTCGATTTTATTTGCAACAAAACCTACCAATCACGGCAGAACAAAAACGACCCAACATACTGTTACTCTTAGCTATGAAGCATTCATTGATGGAATTCATTTGGGTCGGGGCTTAGAACGGTGTTATGTTATGGGTAAGGTCCTGACGGTAAGAAGAAGTACTATAGTTCAGTTAGACATTTTAACTGATATTTTCGAGAACCATTCTCTCTGTTCTGTAAATTTCTAGCGATGTATATATTTACTTCGCAAACCTAAATTTAGTCATTACATGATTTGTGAATGTTTAAAAAGCATTGAAAGTGAATGTTTCTGCAGTTAGTTTGGCTGGAAACTATTAAAAATTAGTTTTAAATTTAACATTCTCTTGTCGTTGATTGGTTTGAAAGTTCAAAGCCAAAAACAATTATAGCTACTTCAAACGCTGAGCATTTGCTCCTCTACGTCATTTTGTAAATGGCTCACGAATATTGATGTATTTCTATTCACACGTGAAAATTACTTTTTAGAAGTGCATCACAAAACAACCGCATGAATTTTCAAGTTTTATTTTTCCACTTCCTCGACCATGATGTATTTACGGGTTGACAGGAATAAGATTATTGATATTTGCTGGTTGGATCAAATGCTGGACAAACCTCAAAAATCTAATCTATTTCAGTAGGGTTTTGATCTACAGTTCGCAGCAATTACCGCCTCATTTTTACTAAACTACTGAATCTCACTAATATTTAATTGATCCAAATTATATATGCTCTTCGTTTAAAGCAGCTGCAAATTTTTTTAATGAAGATTGCATGTGTAACGCAATACATATTATGTGATATTGATTTATTATTTTTACGAAAACTGTATGATCACGTGTTATTTTGATAATGTTCTTTCGTTAGATTAGTGACTCAATGTGATTGCATATATTTTTATGACTAGAAGATGGAATCTCGTTACGGTGACATTATTTTGTATGACTGAGGAATGTGTAAGCATATTTTTATTTCGTGACTGAAACGAGGAATCTCCTTTGTTGTGATATCATCTGTCTGTTGCGTTGCGTGTAATCGTCTGCTAGACGTCATGCATCGTCTGCTAGCCCTGACACGTTTAGACTTACTCTATGATATGTTAATCGTAAAATATTACTTGACCTAAGATTTATTCGCTTTAATGTGCCATTATTTTATCAAAGCACTTCATCTTTTGCGATAATCGTAATGATTTACTGTTGTACTGTACGAGGATAAGTGTTGTTAATAGACGATACAATGGTTAATTAAGGAAAGATGGTTACGATCTTGCGTAAGGAAGCTAGACATCTTAGAGGTAGATGTTTCATAAGAAGTTGATTGTAACTTATAGTCATATCGTCAAAATGTTAAACTCTTTATTGATATGATTTTATTAGGTGATAATACTTGTCATTATATTTGATAATGCTTAGTCAATATTCATTTGCCTAGTCTATTGACGAACTGGTATCAACTAACGCGCTCGCGAGTTAGTTATCATCGAGTTATTCTATCTTATATGAACTTTTACCTATCATTATTTGACCAAAAGATTATATTATGATTCTACTTTATTATAATATACTATATTATCTATATTTTTTGCATATAGACGAATTTAGTAGCCCATTTCTTGTACATTGTAAACGGGGTGTTGAGGTAAGCTCATTTTGGCTGAGTTACCCCCTCGTTGTGTAGGCNGGTAGTATTCAAAGTGCAGGTAGGAGTGGTGATAGGAGTAACCTTAATCAGTATTCTGACGAAGGCGTACGATCCATTTTAGAAGTAAAATAACTTAGATCAGTGTCCATTCAAAAAAAAGCTAATAAAAATGATTTAAATCATAATAGTCGTTAGTTTAGCTTTGATGTTCGAATATTCACCATAGGTGTTCATTCGTATATTCATCATCAGTGTCCATTCAAAATAAATGTTAATATATATAGTTGAAAGCATAATAGTCGTTAGTTTAGCTTTGATGTTATGTTCGTATATTCAACATATATAGGTGAATATACCTCTAGCCTGGTGCGTGGACAGCAAATGAAGGAGCTAATTAGAAGCATAATTTTATGTTAGGTGTTTAATTTTAATGGAAGATCCAGAGTAGCTCCTTTGCGCCTCAGCGTCTGCAGATAGCTGAGGTGATGTATGAACAGGTTTTATTTTAGCTCACTGCTTGACTATTGTACGTTACACGTCTTTGCAATGATTATATGGATGTTGGTCACTTGAAATATTATGAATAATTAAGCTAAAAATCCTTCTGCCTATCTGAGGCAATTTTGTTATGATATTGCAGATATATCAAGTGATGAAGCATCTAAGAATGACAATTTGAAAAGCATGTTTTGGCTTTCCTTTAATTGCCGATTTAAATTAGATAGAGATTGAAATGAATACGGAATTAAGACGGAGATAAATAGATTACTTTTGTCTTTGAAATTATTGGGTTTTATCCCAGTAACTTTTCTCCGGATAATCTGGCGACACCTTCCTTCAACTTTTTCGATAGACGCCTCACCTGCGTAGTGTTAACATTGTGATCGCTGTTGAATCAATTTGTCCTGAAATTTAGAATTCGGTTTAGCATTTAGTATCTCGTATTTTTAGCATTTAGTGTCTCATTTACAAATGTTATAAGTAGGTTTTCAGAATAAATTCATCTTGAAATTTATATGTACGTTGTTAACAGCCACCCACTAAAAAGTGGTTGAGGAAATCATTTTTTATCTTGTTTCAACCTAGTTTTACGAAAAATTGTACGACTGTACAACACAATTAACTAATAATACACACAAATTAAAGTTGTTCTTTTATTCTATACCTATGATCGATAAGGTAAACACGGATTCAGTTAGAATCAGCCAATGAATGTTTCACTGTTGTTTCCTACGCCAACGGTCACGCTCGCCAGGGGATTGGCTCCGGTCACGGGTGTAGGAGGGCCATCGGAAAAAGAAAAAGGACAAAGGCAGACAGGATCTAGAAGGCTGCCGCTACTACGGGAATATTCCAGTGAGGATACGCTTAAGGTCGAGGGGAAGGAGGGGCAGAAAAAAAAAAGATGCTAGACGGACTGGTAGAAACCTCCGTACTCGGGGCAGGCTGCGTTGGGTGAGCGTCTGACACTGAATGGATTGGGCGCCAAGGAACTGCAGGGGTATTGACGGAGCTGTGACAGCGCCAAAGGATAGAACGGGGGAGCGAGGCCTATTTAGAAGCAATCGGAGGAGATAGAGCAGCCAGACTACATTGTTCTCGACGGTCGCCACAACGCGGGTGATGATTTACCTGCGGGGGGAGCGCTTTTCGTCCCAGTTGGAGCCGGCGGGCATAATGCCTGCCGGGATACCACACTGTGGTATGCAGAAGGGATACCACACTGTGGCAGAAGGAATAACACACTGTGGCCGCACCTTGTCAAGAGGGATCTTTCAATGTTTGGTCCCCGTGGGTGGCAGAGACTATATGAAAGGAAGTATGGGAGGGTTGCTGGGCTCTGACAAAGTCTTGGTTCATACCATACTGCCGGGCACGTGCCAGTTACGATTCAGTCCAATATTCTTTAATGCATTTTTGTAGAAGCATTTACACCAGTTGTGCAAGGCACCTGCCATGCCAGATACGGTCCAGCAACGATCAAGATAAAGGATATTTTGACCGGGGCGTGACTGCAGCGTTACCAACTATTTTTTGGCCATGTAAATCACATTGTTAGCACAACCTACCAGATTTTAGCAAATATGCCAGATCAAAAATATTCATACCAGACATCATCTCAACATACCAGATTTGGTAAATCTGGTTTTTAAATCTACCACTTGGGAGCGCCACCGCAGGCCGCAAATTTTACTATCAATTTAGGCAGGGACGTCAACTCACAGCCTCACCATGCTTTTACATCACTCAGTTATTGAACTAGAAGCGGCAGACTACGCTGGAACACCGTAACCTAGACCAGTGACACAGTGCCTGAAGATAATAGAGCCACATGTCGTCAGCCAATACTTGAGCATATTTGCTAATATACGCACGCAGTTCCGCATCAGAGTGACTGAAGGACAGCATAGTTTTATGATGAATAATCGCCTGATTAGGGCACATCGCTTCAACATTCACCTAAATAACTTCTAAATTTTTAACTTCAGTGGAACTAATCAAATGGCAGTAAATCAAAACCCTTAACATACGAGAGGTTTTGGTTATTATCTAACATTTCTCTGTTGGAAGCTGACAGCGGTGCGATCTGAAGTGTACTTTTGGCTGCAAGAAAAGTCCCGGAACAACAGCTGTCCCATGTCCATTCATAACGATTTGAGCAACGAGACGCTCGTAGAAGTTGACTGCGACAGTAAAATGAAGATGATGCTTGTATGCCAGGTGAGCATTTCTTCGGGGATTTACATTAAAATAAGTCAACAAGTAGGTTTGTCTACATGCAATACTGAAACTTTATACGTAATTGTCTTCCTTATTTTATATTCATTGTTTTACGAACAATAAAAAATTTCCAATCATATCTCGTACAGAAGCATCAATCTCATCGTCCGTCTTCCTAACGTTATATAGATTTATGACCAACAAGAGGAATGTTCACTTTACTTTTAGTTGATTCTAGAAATATTTAGGCGTGAAAATAGGATATATATTGCAAATTACATAACTACTCGTACTCAGTCATCTTAATATGAAATATAAAAAAATATATAACTCAGTACTCACTGCAGTGAGTAACAGAACGCATTTTGTCAAAATCGACACAAACGTGAAGTCAAAGACAGACAGACGGATGGACGGACGGACTGACCAACAGACGGACGGACATGATAAGCACAATAGCGCCTTTTTTCCTTAAATGAGAAAATGCTCTAAAAAGGATGATACCACAATTAGCAAAATCTAGAGTCACTCAATTTCTCAAAGTAGGTGATAAAATTTAAAAAGAGGCGCATGCACGTGAAAATTAAATTTATATGATAAAATTTTAACGAAACGTTAAACGTTAAATTTTAACGAAGCGAACACTTTGCAACCAGAGCGGTCAAAAGTTGGCCCGGTAGAGCGCGACTCGTTTTCTTATCTCCAGCGATCATGCCACTTCAACGTTATGAGTCTGAAATTGATCTGAAATACGGCTCTTCGTTCGTAAAAGTTGTTCGTGACAAAAATTCTTTCTTTATTTGAACCAGTTTTTAACAAAATTGAATGACCATTTAAGTGCAAAGGTAGAATCTAAATCTAAGTTAAAAACAGCAGTGAAGAACGTAATCAACAAGCAATCATTAGTAATGAAAAATTACGTGCAAACACTTTAATCTTGACAATTCCACGGATAAATATGGGGAAATTTCTATTTATAAATGATTTTGACCATGGCTCAACATTACTGATTTTATTCGCATGCATACGAGAGGAAAATACTTCAAAATAAAAAAATCCTATACTACTTGTTAAATGTTAATATTAAATATGGCTTAACGGTTATATTTTCGATTAGATTCCAGAGAACGCTTACTTCACTATGCTTGGTGAAGGAATGGACTCTTTCGGCAAGTTTTACTTGGTTAGAGACGGATTCCAGAGCGTGTACCGCACTCGGTACAGGGATACCATCGGCCTGAACAGCGAGAACACCGAGTATCAGATCAACAAGACCGGTAAAATATTGTTCTCAGCAGCCATGCAAGTCCTGGATGTTCCTATGGGAAGGTTTAAGTCCCATAGGCAAGACGGTCCAGAGGACGAACAGGAGACTGTCATCTCAGCCTGCGCAGACGTACGTTGAATAATGTAGTGTTAGATGGAATTAGAATCACATTTTGGAATTTTGAGAATCACATTTTAAATCGAAACTAGTATATGGTTGTATTTACGTTAACAATATGTAGTATTAGCAGTAAAATTTTGTAACAATGCGACACTGTGTCGTGTGCCGCTTAAAATAACTATCACTTAAAGATTGCTTGTATGCACGGCCAAGAATCCAATTGTGTAACCCATATAACTTTAAAAATGTACTATAATTACTCATGATTTATAACATAGCTTTATTAATCATCATCACCATTACATGAAAAATTTAGTCCATCCTAACGCATAACACACTCTCCGTAATATAATTTATTACCGACAGATCAACAACCAAAACCGAATGCAACGAATCATTTTTAATTACCACGTATTTGACTATCGTGGTAAAGCCTGTAACATTCACTACCTGAACATTCGATTTCATTTCACATTAGTTGAATAGGAAGCGATTAGTCTTCGCATTCGCTGTGCTTCGGCTTTTCTTTGGATCCATTCAGCTTCCTTTGGACTTTTTTTGGTTGGATCCTCTTCTCCTGAGGTCCATTTTGGTTCTTTTTATTTTGCTTTGCTTCCAATTTTAATTCACTTATTCTTATTAGCGTCACTTTTTTTGCTTGGCTTCATTCATCTTTCTTTCCATATTTTTTCGTATATCCAACACATTTTCCACACGCTGTTTCATGAATGACAATTAGATTTAATATTCTAAACAAACAATAATAATATCCTTCTATTCGTGCTCCTGTCCTCAGGAAGAGTTCACGTGCAACGACGGCTCGTGCATCCCCCTGACGCAGCACTGCGACGGGCTGCAGCAGTGCCACGACTTCGAGGACGAGGACTGCGATCAGAACAGCTACCTCGCACAGAACTACGACAAAACGCGCGCTAGTAATACCAGTCTCCCGATTAAACTTAATATCAGAATCAGATCCATTTCTGACGTGGATATTACTAACGGCCGTCTCAAGCTCAAAATTGAAGTGAGTATATGACACCGTTGACACATATCATTAGTACCGATTAGGTGACAGAACAAGTATTCCAAATTTGCAACATCCGTTGGGTTTATGGACAAATTACGGATATTTTTAGCTGCTCTTTATGAAGTTAAGAGATCATAATATGACCACGAACAAGAGAATACTATTACTGCCTAATCATTTCGTAAGCCTTATTTTATATGGACTGCGGTGCAATTGCTTATCAGCTTGGCGAGTTGACACGTGCTGCTCAATTGAGCTCCCATCTAAACTCTTATTCTCTAAGACTAAGTGACAGAAATTTTCTTTGATTAGGTTAAAACTTCTTGGAAAGACGGAAGGATTGAATTCGTCCAACTTCAGAAAGATTTGGAGAGGAACGTCATTTCAGAAGACATATGGTACCCAAAATACCACTTCGAAACTTTGGTGTTTGAGGACGAAAGGGATTACTACCAGGGGAACAACAGCATCTCGAGGCTCATGGCAGCACGAGGCAAGGCTACGGCCATCAAGACCTACAAGACTCAGAGGAGTGAGTAATCAGTAACACTGAACAATAACTTATACCGTGAATTTTGTTCATTTCCCCATCATTCCTATTTAATTTTTCTTCTAGCGAACTGTTTTTCCAAATTTATGCTGCGTTCTTCATATTGCTTCTTATCGACAGTGAACACTTTTTAACGTTTTTAGCAACAAGTAGGTATTAACGAAAAAGAAACGCGGTAGGTGGTTGGCACTTCACGGTCAATGGACGTTAACAAAGTTGTAAGCCGATAATTTTGTGAAGAAGGTACACAAACTACTTACCGGGTTTCGTAAAATTATTCCACATCTTCTATTTACATTCGTTGGAAAATATGTTAATCAAGGGAGACAATGTTGGCAGCAATGAAAGACACCAATGAACTTCATAGGTGGGAGTTCAGTAGGTAGTTTCTCCATAGGGTTTTACTAGTTTTACTATAATAACTTTCATGATTTAACATCGAATATCTCTCAAGTCAAAGAATTCATAATTTTCCACTGGGGAGTGGTTGTACGAATTTCCCATGTGGCAGTTCAGCAGTTTCAGAATAGGGTTTTCCTGAAATAACTTTCATGATTTGACACCAAATATTTTTCTTAAGTCGAAAAATTCATAAATTTTTTGCATGGGTAGTGGTTGTACGAATTTCATAGGTGGCATTTAAATAGTTTTAGAATATTGATTTCATGCAATACTTTTCTTGGTTCAACACCGAGTATCACTTTAATTGAAAATCCATAAATTTTATTCTAGGGAATAGTTGTATGAATCTAATAGCTGAAAGTTCATTAGCCTCTGAATAATGTTTTCCTGTTATAACTTTCATAGTTTAACACCGAATATCACTCAAGTCGAGGAATTCATCAACTTTTCCACTGGAAAGTCATTTTTCCACTAGGGGAGTGTAGCTTTTTCTGGCACATCAAATAAAGAAAAGGCCTTGTACGTCTCTGTTTGAAAAGGCCTAATCTGTCTAAATATTTCACGAAGACTAAAGCCAAAGATGTTTACTTTAACCGCCTCTGTAAACAACATCGAACATCTCCAGAGCGCCTGTACGAAGCCGAGGTGGTACACATTGAGCTCACTTCCTTCACTCTGCTCTGTGACTTCGACCTGACGATCTACCCTTTTGGGGTGCATCCCTGCATGTACAACATCACCCTAGAGGATCAGAGTGACAATGGTCCATACTTCAACATGTCCGTGAGTTATGATGCGCTCTATTGTTACCAGCAGTTTGTACAATTAGGAACAGTCGAGGGTCATACATTGACAAGTTAACCACCTCATACGCTGATTATTATCCTTATCGCAGGCAACGCAACTGGAGCTGAAAGAGCAGAGCATGTCACTTTTCATGGTGCGGTACAGCTGCGTCCAGGTACCGAGCAACTCAACGCCGCGCACCATCACCGTCACCGTGCGTAACCAGTCAAAACTATAATTCATGGTTTGAATAAAGTGAAGGAGTTAGGATGGAAGGAGAAATTCTATTAAAATGCTGATGCTTTTCTTTTATATATAGCTTAATTCTGGACAACATAGTATTCACGGTGATTAATCAGAAACTCTCACCCCCTCAGGTTTTACGTTACGTTAAGTTCCTAATCTCTAAAGTCAGGTTGATTTCCGAAATGGCTTACTAGGCGCGTAAACGATTCTCTTTTCGTGACGAATGACGAAATGACAAAGATAAAAACGACACATAGAAAAATTTACCAACGTCCTACATTATAGAAAAACTATCCTATTACAAAGCTGGGTCCAGTGGGTCATGGATGCGTAAGGCATCTATTACACGGCATGAGAAATTCTCTACAGGCCTAGGTACATGACTTTACACATTCTGGTCTAATACACGGGCTAATGTAAATTACAGAATCGATCAATACTCAGAAATCGCAAGTTTTAAACAAGTAACGGCTCTACCTCCATTAAATTTCTAACGAGTACATCACCAGCTTAATGGCGGAGACGTTACTGGTCGACACCTCTGTTACTTTCTTCGCGTTGTAACCATGCTTTCCGCTCTGGCTTTCCCTCTCACGGCCGGTCTGACCATAGAACTTGCGACGGCCGTATTCCAGGGAGTGGTGAAGACTACCTCGTCGATGACGCTACCCCAAGCTCTTTATCAGGTCCCGGCTGCTGATGATCGTGCCCCTACCGCTGCTGACGAGGACTACGACCGTATCATGTTGATGACCGCTTCGTGACCGTACTGCTACTAACAATGACTGCGACCGTATCGTGTTGAGGGCCGTACCGATAGTAATTTATTGTCCAGTGCTCGACAACTATAATCTTTATCTGCCTGCGTTATCCTAGTTGGACGTCTCAGGCATTTCGCGTGGTTTTTCTAAAATCGGGTATATAACATGGTTGTTTCGTTGAGTAGCACAACTGCCACAAAATCTCGCGCTTCTGCGTCAGTAAGACACCACTCGTCACCTCACAAATACGCCGGACGACTATTTCCTGGATAGCTCGCTTGAGACACCAGCCCAAGGCTAGACTCCAGACTCGACTGCCTCTCGCAGACTCGCAGTACGACTACGGCAGTAGTACGCCGTGCTAATTAAATGCTTCGCAACCCGCAACGCCCCGTCGCTAGATTTTTACCCTAAACGACCAACAGTTTTTCCCCTAAATGACCTACAGTTTTCCCCCATCAACATGAACAATCACTTTGCCTTATACTTTTCTATTCCTATCACATCAATCTCTTTCAATCCATGCCCTCGTTCATACCTGTACTATTTCGTGATTTTCTATCCCTATAAGGTTAAGTTAAATTTGTAGGTTACCCTACTCCGTATTCGTACACGTTCAAGCCCTAGTAGCCACCATTTTAGAAATTTAAGCAATTATTCAGAAGAGAACCGCAATCTACGTCGCCTCAAACACGGCAACTGCCCTAATACTCTGATTCTTTTAATCCGTTTTTCCGTTTTGAAACTTGCCTTTCAACAACACGTGTCATCTTCTAGCTCATGTTCACTTACATAACTGCACTATCACCGCCATCACGGCTGACTCGAAAGTATTATCGGATAATTAAATTTGTTGCCATATGCGAACGAATGATATTCAACTCAAATAACTCATTGAATTTGCGTTATTTGTCATTGTATTTAATTACCTATTACATTACCGTTATTGTCTAGTTTAAGCCTAGCATCTCAAGTCAAGTCATATTAAGTCTAGCTTGACCTGGCAATGATCGCGTGCAAAAACTGACCAAATTGGTCACGTTTTCGTTCGGTTTCGTTTTGCGGTCGATTTTCTTAGGCGTGGATTACATTTGTTTGGATTACATATGTAATCCACGCGACCATTGTAGGCTTAATGCACTGTAATTCAGAGATTCGGGATAGTTGCTATAACAACGTACGTTTCGTTTACCATTCGCATTCCTCTACACATTAAATATATCATTCACGGAACTCATCACATACAAGTAGTACAAGTAACTTCTTGATGTGAAGGCACAGAATAAATTTATAATAGTTGCGCAGCGACTAGTAATTCCGTTACGTGGAGTTGGGTCATAATATACGTTACGTGGAGTTGGGTTTCTGTGATATTGGACTATGTAATAGATCTATGTCATTTGCGTAAAAAAATACATTGAAGTTCACGCGCACAATAACTTCAAATTCTTCATTCGGATTACGTTCAACATTCACGCCTCTTACTGCTTCCGCACAACGTATTAAATAATGCATCCGCGCATCTCATTGAATTCTTTAGCCATTAGTATTTGGTTTAATCGTTTTCGTAGAATTCAGTAGCATTTTTAGATTTCTACTACGAATATAAAATATGAAAGTACTACTCATGCAGGGGTATGATTAATTGTGTACATAACTAACCTCGTTTCTAAATTAACTTTTTCAGCCAAGTAATTAATTTTGTGCCACAAAAGCTATTTATTTAGTGTCGTTATTGAGCTGAGAAGCTACTATTACGTTGAGTTGTGTTTGCACAAGCAGGTGCTGCTGGAGAGCCTCTACGGAGGCTTCGTGCTGAGCATCTTCACGCCGGTCGCGGTCATCACCGTCATCGGCATCTCCACGCTCTACTTCGCCTTTGAAAACTTCCAGTAACTATTATTTCCTTCCTTCTGAATATATTTTAATCGCAAAGATCTTCTTATGAGTTTCTAAACGATAAAACTATGGGTAAAGAAAATTTCGATTTGAATACCCAGATTCTATCTAGAATAAGAGCACCGGCCACGATAGGTAAAATCTGCGATGTGGAATTTATCGACCGAAAGCACTTATTCAAGTATTTTATTTTGAATAATTTGGTATGCTTGCATTGTTGTAATCGTTTTTAAAATGATTACATTATAAGTTTTCGCATTTTTTCGTGCAATATTAGTTATTCATTTTTTTAAACCTGCTTATCATCTTCCTTAGAAACCCACGAAAGATTTTTCTCATTCTTATTTCTCGGCAAACCGTGATGAAGTGGGACACTGTGGGTGTCGTGGGAAATAGATAGGAATTACTGATTGATTATTCGAGGTGTGATGAGTACCTCATAAATTTTTAAATTTACTGGAATTTACATTTGCAGCAAATCCAAATTTTTAAATAGTAAATTTAAATTTCACTTTTTTCGTCGAATAGAGAGTAACGTGTTGCAAAACTTATGACTCAATGAATAAACTGTGAAAATTTTTAGTTAAAGGAAACTAAGTCTCAATAAATGTGAAAATGCTCTCGGTTTTTAACTCCAAATGTAAAATTTTAGCAATTATAAAGTATAACGCTGAGCCCATGTGACTGCAGGGATCGTATCGCCGCGACGCTCGCCTGCCTCATTGTCGAGGCGGGGATCTACTCGCAAATCTGCGTCGTCATCCCCATCTCGGCGGCCCCGAAACTGGTCGATATTTATTTCTTCTACGGGATATTGAGGATGTTTTTCGTATGCATTCATCACCTGAGTGTGTACCGCTGGCTGATTTATTTGAAAAATCGTAAAGCTCAAGAAATAGAGAAGCAAAATGCTCTGGCATTGAAATTTATTAGGAAATTCACAGACAAAGCAAAAGGTCTCTCCTATCAAGCCGCTTCGAAGCACGACAAAGGGGCCAAGAGTGTCCCTGCTCTAGGGTCATCGGACTTAGACTCGGAAGGTGGAGTGAAAGGCTCGGGTTCACCCCACGCAAGATCATTCCTGGACTCGAGCCTGATCACGTCGGGGGAGTCACAGCGTCGAATTTCCCCAGGCGACAATGCGACAGAAGCAGTAAATGCGTGGACAGCAAATGAAGAAACGGACAAGAAATTGGCTGGTATGTATGCCAGGTTAAAAGCTGCCAACTACTTTTGCTTCACTTTATGGCTCGTCTTTGATTTTATTTTTGTTGGGCTAATATCTTATATGATTATTGTGTCGAGGCAATACGTCTTCGGTCAATTTCCTTCTATTACCCTTACCCAGTAAGAGTAATACGGTTATTCACTGAATCACTGTGCTCACTAAATGGCATTTATTCATTGATCTATGTCAAAGAATTTAAAGGATTCGACAACCCAAACCTTCGAAAAATCACAACGAAATGGTTATTCATATGTCATATTTCTAGTTATAGGTGAAAGTTAAGGTGGTGATAGTAGCGGAGGCAGAGTCATAGTGGTCCATTGTGAGCGTATTATTGTGCATTGTAGCTGTCATCGGTAGTATTCAAAGTGCAGGTAGGAGTGGTGATAGGAGTAACCTTAATCAGTATTCTGACGAAGGCGTACGATCCATTTTAGAAGTAAAATAACTTAGATCAGTGTCCATTCAAAAAAAAGCTAATAAAAATGATTTAAATCATAATAGTCGTTAGTTTAGCTTTGATGTTCGAATATTCACCATAGGTGTTCATTCGTATATTCATCATCAGTGTCCATTCAAAATAAATGTTAATATATATAGTTGAAAGCATAATAGTCGTTAGTTTAGCTTTGATGTTATGTTCGTATATTCAACATATATAGGTGAATATACCTCTAGCCTGGTGCGTGGACAGCAAATGAAGGAGCTAATCAGAAGCATAATTTTATATTAGGTGTTTAATTTTAATGGAAGATCCAGAGTAGCTCCTTTGCGCCTCAGCGTCTGCAGATAGCTGAGGTGATGTATGAACAGGTTTTATTTTAGCGCACTGTTTGACTATTGTACGTTACACGTCTTTGCAATGATTATATGGATGTTGGTCACTTGAAATATTATGAATAACTAAAGCTAAAAATCCTTCTGCCTATCTGAGGCAATTTTATTATGATATTGCAGATATATCAAGTGATGAAGCATCTAAGAATGACAATTTGAAAAGCATGTTTTGGCTTTCCTTTAATTGCCGATTTAAATTAGATAGAAATTAAAATGAATACGGAACTAAGACGGAGATGAATAGATAACTTTTGTCTTTGAAATTATGGGGCTATTATTATCCCAGTAACGTTTCTCCGGATAATTTGGCGACACCTTCCTTCAACTTTTTCGATAGACGCCTCACCTGTGTAGTGTTAAAATTGTGATCGCTGTTGAATCAATTTGTCTTGAAATTTAGAATTCGGTTTAGCATTTAGTTTTAGCATTTAGTGTCTCATTTACGAATGTTATTATTAGGTTTTCAGAATAAATTCATTTTGAAATTTATATGTACGTTGTTAGCAGCCACCCACTAAAAAGTTAAAAAGTGTTTAAGGAAATAATTTTTTATCCTAATTGTTTCAACCTAGTTTTACGAAAAATTGTTCGACTGTACAACAAAATTAACTAATAATACACACAAATTAAAGTTATTCTCTTAGTCTATACCTATGATCGATAAGGTAAACATGGATTCAGTTCAGTAAACATGGATTCAGCAAACATGAATGTTTCGCTGTTGTTTCCTGCGCCGACGGTCACGCTCGCACGGGGATTGGCTCCGGTCGTGGGTGAAGGACGGCCATCGGAAAAAGAAGATGGACAAAGGCAGACAGGATGGCTAAAAAGGCTGCCACCACTATGGGAATATTCCAGTTAGGATACGCTTAGGGTCGAGGGGAAGGAGGGGCAGGAAAAAAAGAAGCTAGACGGACTGGTAGAAACCTCCGCACTCGGGGCAGGCTGCGTTGGGTGAGCGTCTGACCCTGAATGGATTGGGCGCCAAGGAATTGCAGGGGTACTGACGGAGCTGTGGCAGCGCCAATGGATAGGACGGGGAAGCGAGGCCTCTTCAGAAGCAATCGGAGGAGATGGAGCAGCCAGACTACATTGCTCTCGACGGTCGCCACAACGCGGGCGATGATCTACCTACGGGGGAGCGCTTTTCTTCCCAGTTGGAGCCGGCGGGCATAATGCCGTTCGTCAGAAGGGATACCATACGGTGACCGCACCATGTCAAGAGGGATCTTTCAATGTTCGGTCCCCGAGGATGGCAGACATATATATGAAAGGAAGTATGGGAGGGCTGCTGGGCTCTGATAAAGTCTTGGTTCATACCATACTGCCGGGGCACGTGCCAGTTACTATTCAGTTCAATATTCTTTAATGCATTTTTGTAGAAGCATTTACACCAGTGGTGCAAGGCACTTGCCATGCCTGCCTGTACGGTCCAGCAACGATCAAGATATAGGATATTTTGACCGGGGCGTGACTGCAGCGTTACCAACTATTTTTCGGCCAACTATATCACATTGTTAGCTAAACCTACCAGATTATAGCAAATATGCCAGATCAAAAATATTTATACCAGACATCATCTCAACATACCAGATTTAGTAAATCTGTTTTTTTTATATACCAGTTCGGAGCGCCACCGCAGGCCGCAAATTTTACTATTAAATTAGGCAGGGACGTCAACTCACAGCCTCACCATGCTTTTACATCCCTCAGTTACAGAACTATGTTGGGGTATAAGCTTGTATATTATTATCTTACATGTTATTGTACTTGGGATTCGTCAATTATTGTGAAGTTGCTCAATGCCATTTTAGTTTAGACTTTACGGAAGTCGGAATGCGGAAGGTGTAAGTTGCTGCTAGATTATTGTGCGGTGTGAAGCCCGAAGCGGAGGTACGTAGTGTGTTAGGTCCTTTCGTGTATTATTAAAATACGATATGTGAATTTATTAGAATCGATGTATATATTATATTTGTGTTCCATTATTTCATTTGTATATTTATTACTTTATTTACTAGTTAGAAGTTTAATTATTGTTCATTTTACTCTTTTAGGAAAGCCTCAAACCTGAGACTCAAACTCGAGACTTAGTCATCTTCTCAGTTGGCCAGCACGTGAATGTGTATATTACAGTGGATTGTATATACTGAAACGGATTGTGCAATAAAGTGATTTTAATTAAAGACTATCAGTGAAAATGACCCTATACGATCAAGTAGGCTGAGTTGGTGTGTCGATGACCCAAACAACTAGAAGCGGCAGACTGCGGACTACGCTGGAACACCGTAACCCAGACCAGTGACACAGTGCCTGAAGATAATAGAGCCACATGTCGTCAGCCAATACTTGAGCATATTTGCTAATATACGCACGCAGTTCCGCATCAGGCTGCACCTACTCTTGCCTAACCTCTTCTGGCCTAACCTATTCATGCTCTCCAGGCTCCCAACCGCCTTTCAGCCTCTGATTGGCTCAACCAGCACAATTGAACAACCTATCTAACTTCCAGCAGCCAATGAGGTTAGGTTAGGTCTGCTTAAGTTTGTTTCGGGTGGAGAAGTGTTGCAACTTGTGCAGGCTAGGTCTCAAGAGGTTACGTATATTGGGCCTATCGGGCAATGGACTCCCCCAATCGGCTCATATATAGCCGCTGATTACAGTTAGGTGGCCGATAGGCGCCCGAGTCTCACTCATCTAAGGCTGACTGTCTGTCCTTTGTGGCGGCCCCTAATGGAACAAGAAACTCGACTGGGAGCTAGTACTTCCCGCATTCCAACAACTCCCGCATTCCACTATAACTCCCGTAATCCACTGTAACTTCCGTAATCCACTATAACTCCCGTAATCCACTAAAACTCCTGCATTCAACTAACTACATCATTCCATTAACTCCCGCATCCCACTAACTCATGTATATCAAGATTTCTATAGCCATCAATTGTTCGATAGTCGTCAGTGAATACGTTTCGTATTTGGCCGACCTCTTAAACCCGTGCACGAAGTTCTGAGCGCTCATACGGACTATACAGGCTAGCTTTCAGGTTGTCGTAGGTATAGTGGAAAATAAAGAAATAAAAGAATGAATGAAATTATGCTGAAAACTATAAAAACAAACGAACGACAAATACAAGAAAATAATATAAATCATTTGTACTGCTAGCCCTTGCCTATTAATTTGTAATCGTGTCGCAGGTTCGGAGCCTCGCGAAAAAGCCTAAATAAAGACAAATTAAGGAATTTAATTAATGGAGTACACCAACAAATGAACATAGCGCACAAAAATAATAGACTAATATAAATAAGAATATTCAAGATCACCCAGAAATCCACCACTACGTCAACCCGGAAGATATACACACGATAAACAATTGACAAGTACTAACCTCTGCGGTGGAACACATAGCAATGACGACTGACGAGGTACATGACGGGTCAACACGAGGTGACTTATAGTTCACTCAAACCGAAATGTCAGTATACGTAACCTAGATATTGATAAAATTATTATTGAAAGACGTTCCCTAACAAAGTAACTTGGTCGCTTGAATAATACGGTGGGAAAAGGAATATGCTACTAATTGATGAAATAATTACGTTGATATATGACATATGGTCACCAATACAAGAAATCATGATATTAAAAAATCATGAAATACAGAAAACAAGGTTCAATCATGACTGATTCTAGTAACTTTTGTGAATATTACATCTTGAAAATAATTAGTCATTTACAATACTTAACTTTGACTGCTACCGTAAATAGGCAGAAACTTTCCCCGATTAGGAAAAGTTGTGGTTTTCAAAGTTTTTCATTAATTTACTAGTCATGTCAGGTGGAGTGACGTTAACTTCTCGTTCAAATACTCCTTACAGATTTTTTATAGTTTGAAGATGACGTTCGCAAACATTGAAATTTAAATAAGACTAATGAATAAAATAATAAAGCGTTACGTCCATCGAACGGGGTAGCCCAGAAGGATCACAGCGTCATGAGATGAGGTGTCCTGCTGAAGTCCATATACTATAAAAAAATTATTACGAATCTTAACTTTGTCAGTCAATCACTGACGGCTCTTCAAGCTAAACCCACCAATCACAGACGAGAAATCAGCCACTTTGTGTACTTGGACCGCTACGTGTCCATAAGCAAATTTGGACAGTATGGTCTCAAGTAACATTTTCTTCGCCAGTATCAGAAACACTCGTTTTGAAATTTCATACAGAAGCTCATTCGACTTCGGCGAATGGAAAAAGCGGATCGTATGACACTGTACCGTTGACTGTTGCATTCTCGGTTTTATTTTTCTCGAACACAACCTACTGCTCACGGCAGAACAAAAAGGGCACAATACACTGTTACTATTAGCTATGAAGCATTCGTTGATGGAATTCATTTGGGTCGGGGCTTAGAACATTGTTATGTTATGGGTAAGGTCCCAACGGTAAGTACTAGTTCAGTTAGACATTTTAACTGACATTTTCGAGAACCATTCTCTCTATTCTGTAAAATTCTAGCTATGTATATATTTACTTCGCAAACTTAAATTTAGTCATTACATGATTTGTGAATGTTTAAACAGCATTGAAAGTGAACGTTTCTGCAGTTAGTTAAACTGGAAACTATTAAAAATTAGTTTTAAATTCAACATTCTCATGTCGTTGATTGGTATGAAGGTTCAATGCCAAAAAATTAGAACTACTTCAAACGCTGAGCACTTACTCCTCTGTATCATTTTGTAAATGACTGTCGAATACCCAAGTAAAAATTAGGGGTGGCGCATCGCTGATTAT